GTAATTTGATTTTGTTTTATTTTGTAAACATTTTAAAAAAAAATATTTTATTTTTTAGAACCCTACCCGAATTTCACCATTGGACACATAAATATTAGGAAAAACAAACCGAGTCTCAAAGACTAAATTTAATATTAAAAAATAAGTTAAGAAACTTTAATGGTTTCACCATTAAGGGCATGTTCAATGGTATAAAAAGAGGGATTCTTAAAATATAAAATTATTAAAATTTGAGTAAAAGGAAGAAAGAGAGTGTTTTTGTAGGGTGTATTGAAATATAAAATTAATAAAATTTGAGTAAAAAGAGGAAATAGTGGGTGTGTTTAAATATAAAATTAATAAAAATTGAGTAAAAGTTAAGAACCGGTTCTTAAAAGAAAGAGGGTGTGTTTAAATATAAAATTAATAAAAGTTGAGTAAAAAGATGAAAGAGAAAGTATAAAGTTGAGTAAAAGGAAAAGAGAGTGTGTGTTTTAATAATTTTATATTTTAAGAACTTGGTTAAGAACCACTAATGAACATGGCCTAAGAATGCTCTTAGGTGTATTACTATAGCCCTAATGATAGAGGAATGACTTCACTCATCAACAAAAATATTTTGTAACCAAGAACGGAACCCGAACCATGATCAAGCTACTTCTAATTATAAGAAAAAACAATGATTGTGGTTTTTTAGAGATTGATTGTTTGTTTTTCGAAATCATAGTTACAAATATAAAACCATTAAAGTTAATAAACTATTTCCGTCAAATTCAGTCGGGTCACATTGATTTGTAACCCAAAAAGCTTGCCAGGTTCAGTCGGTAATATGGTTTTGGGAATCCGAAATAAAGAAAAGTGTATATATAGGTCACAACATCTTAACCGATTTGGAATAAGCACACACAAGTAAAGATAATTAGAAATATTGATTTGGTTTTACATTGCTCTTTTTGATTAATTTCACCCTTATAATAACACGGTATTTAAAAATTCGATTATCTCTAGTGATTTATCTGTTTTATCCTACATAATAATTGATCTATCAATCACAAAACTCAACAGTACTACTCTTTGCGTTTCATGCTTTAAACCAAAATTTAACAATAAGTGTGTCACCAAACAATTTATGTTGCTTTCCATACTCACAAATAAGTCGATGTCTTCTTCTTTCTTTTTGTCAAAAGGTTGATGTCTTTTTTAATAATTAAATTTGGTAATATGGAATTATAATTAAGAAAATTATGCATAATTTGGGTAGGAAAAAAGTCCAATAACATAAGAAATTAATCGAGTTTATTATG